CATTCCGACTGGTGTGAGGTGGTATCTTACTGTGGTTTTGATTTGCACTTCCCTGATGCTGAGTGATGTTGACCACTTTTTCTTGTGTCTGTTGGCCATCTGGATGTCTTCTCTGCAGAAAATGTCTGTTCATGTCTTCTGCCCATTTCTTGACTGGATTATTTGTTCTTTGAGTGTTGAGTTTGATAAGTTCTTTATAGATTTTTAGATACTAGCCCTTTATCTGATAAGACATTTGCAAATATCTTCTCCCACTCTGTAGACTGTCTTTTGATTTTGTTGACTGTTTCCTTTGTGGTACAAAAGCTTTTTATCCTGATGAAGTCCCAATCATTTTTGCCTTTGTTTCCCTTGCCTTTGGAGACCCGTCTAGCAAGAAGTTGCTGCAGCTGAGGTTGAAGAGGTTGCTGCCTGTGTTCTCCTCTAGGATTTTGATGAATTCCCGTCTCACATTTAGGTCCTTTTTTTAAAAGATTTTATTTATCTATTTATTTGAGAGAGAGAGCTCGTGAGAGAGAGCAGGAGAGAGAGCCTGGTCTGGGGAACAGTTAGATGGAAAGGGAGAGGCAGACTCCCCGCTGAGCAGAGAGCCCAAAGCAGGTAAGGATCCCAGGACCTGAGGATCATGATCTGAGCCGAAGGCAGATGCTTAACTGACTGAGCCCCCCAGGAGCCCCTCACATTTAGGTCTTTCATCCATTTTGAGTTTATTTTTGTGTATGGTGTTTAAAAAAATAAATGATCCAGTTTCATTCTTCTGCATGTGGCTGTCCAATTCTCCCAACACCATTTGTTGAAGATACTGTCTTTTTTTCACTGGTGAAAGATCCAACCATCTAGTCACATGTTTGGTTCTCCTGGCAACCAGTCCCCTTCTTAGGTGTGGTCCACCCCCCCCCAACAAAAATCACCTAATTAACATAACAAGACACCTTTAAACTCGCATCCCTCAGGAATTTCTAAAAGTCTTAGGAACTCTGGGCCCCACCAGGGGCATATCAATAAAAGCACACAGAGAAGCAACAATGGCCAGGGGACATTTTGACTATAAATACCAAAAGTTTGTGAGGCCTGTCCAAAAATGTTTGGTTAGGACAAGGCATGGTGTAGCTGACCTAAATAGCTCTCCAAAGACCTTGGAGCAATTAGCTCCTACATGGTAAAGGCGACTCTTTTCCAACAGTGTGGAAGGCAGTCCTGTAACCTTAGTACCCACTCATATGAAGGCACTACCCCAACCACAACTGGACTTTATTCCTTTCTTTTCCCATTGCCTGGAATTATGTGACTAATCTATCACTGGTTTGGGGTATTTTATTTCTTAATTAGTTTATTAAGAGACCTTATCCTGTATGCTCTGGGCTTGTGAAATTCCCACAGCAAAACTGTGTTAAGTGCTGGCAAAGACAAACTCAGTCTCCGAGCCTAATATGCCTCCCAAAACAAAACAGCTTACCATTATCTCAATATTGTTTCTGATGTGTGTGAAGAAATATAATAAAAATTACATGAGCATGCAAAATAAAGCATACGGTTGTCTCTGCCCAGGCCCTCTATTTCTCCCTCCTTCCAGGCTTCGACTTAGACACACCCTCTAGAAGCCTTGTTTGACCTCCACTCATGGCCACCCCTATCCAGTTAGAACCTTCTGTTAGTCTGGGTCACAATATCTACAATTTCCCATTTGTAACACAGATCAACATGGTCATTGAGTGGTGCTTGAAGTTTTCCCCAATAGAATATGAGCTCTATTAAAGTGACCGCTGTTTCTCCCATCATCCATGGCATTCCCAGTGCTTAGCATATTATTAATTGCTCAATAAATAATTACTGGTGATGAAGGATAGTTGGAAAGCAGGTGGGCAAGGACAAGGTGCCCCACCCTAAGAGAAAACCACCCTTAGAAGGATTTTACACCCCCCAGAAGGAACCCTCCAGCCTTTCCCATAGATACAGACACAGGTGACAAAAACCTGATTGGATGACAGGCACAGGTAGATTAAAACAGACCTCCAAGGAGCCCATAAAAACCCCTAGACTCAGAAACTCCTGCGGCAACCCTCTCAGGTCCCCTCCCTCTTTGGGAGCTTTGTACCATCTCCTTGCTCTGCTCACCACTCTGGTGGGCCTCTCCATTCTTCCAAGCCATGTGACCAAGAACCAGGGGCACTGACCAAGGGAAAAAATCCCTTAACACTGGCACTCTGACTGAATGAATCAATTAAGCATGAGAAGACAAGAGAGTTTGCTTTGAGTGTTATCTAAATGTATTTATAATTTGACTTTGTGGAGCCCATTGTTGAATGGACAAGATTTAGGCTGTTTTCAAAACAATCGACTGGAAAGTAAATGATTAGACTGTGTTGTCTAAATGAGGTGTCTCTCCTGATTGGTGGAGGGCTTCCAAATGGGGGGTGGGGTGGGAGCTCGTGGGGTGGGCCATTAAAGGATTCCCTGGAGGCAGGACAAAGGAGATAGAAGTGTACTGAATACTGGGGTGGGGGGAGGCAGGACAGAGAGGGGGAGTCGGTCTGCAAGGAGGCTGTGGGTGGGGGCTGCTTTAAAGACGGAGGGTGAGGGGGTATGGGAGGACGTAAGGAGTGCTCCCTTTTCTGCTGACTCTTCCTGGTTATAAGTAGCCCATTGGTTATTTAGGGTCTAGGGTGTTTTGAGGTGGATCACCTGTATTCAGTCAGGGGCTCAGGGTCACTTGGGGCCCTTCTGCCTCGATCAGGTTTCCATTGCTCAAGCCTGTTGTCTAAAGCATCCTTTATATCACTTCACAGCCTTTTGGCTAAAATCAAGTGTAGTATCAGTTCTTAGCAGTTTAAAAGCTGCCTCTACATAGGTGAAACTTAGAAGTTTCAACTATATTCAAATAGTCTCTTTGTCATTCTAATTTATGTACATCTTTTTCTTTCTTTCTCCCCACCCCCACCCCTTTTCCTGGCTGGTATGGAATATTAACAAGTCAGGGTATTTGTTTCTCAAATATACAGGTTTTTTTTTTTTTTTAAATGAGCCAAGGGGCGCCTGGGTGGCTCAGTGGGTTAAAGCCTCTGCCTTTGGTGGCTCAGGTCACGATCCCAGCATCCTGGCATGGAGCCCCGTGTCAAGCTCTCTGCTCAGCAGGGAGCCTGCTTCCCTTCCGCTCTCTGCCTACCTGTGATCGGTCTGTCAAATAAATAAATAAAATCTTTAAAAATATATATTTAAAAAAATGAGCCAAAAGATGGCTACTTCTCAACATTTAATACAAACCACAGAAGAAAATAGAATTTGGTGATTACACCATTTCCTAAAGAGGTTAGAGTACATTTATCACATGCTCTTACATCCGATGGTTTGATACCTACATAATCTAATGACCAGATTCAGGCTGCTAAATGTTACCATCTTGGCTTTGGAAATTTGTCTTATTAGGCCCAGAAAGCTTTCTTTCAAATCTATTATATATATAACATATATATAATATATATATGTTATATATAATATATATATGTTATATATATAAAGCATAGCAGAAAAGAATTACTTTTGTGCTCAAAGACCATGCTTTGAAGAGAAAAAGTCATTGGCCTAACAATTGCTCCCTGATAGTAAATTATCACAATTGGTAAAGATCTATTCCACTGCTGGGAGTACGTTGGAAGAGGCTAGCATGTAGAAATAAAAGAGAAACAAACATATATTAGGCCTTATATTCCTTTCTTTCTGTTTTGTTCATGTTCACTAGTGGTAATAATAATAATAGGTTTAGTCTGGAGCTTACGAAGCATTGCCAATATGCCATTGTTGGTTATAAGCTCTTAGCTTATAGTAACTCGTTTAATATATGCATCCCTTAAATTCCCTATAAGATCGATACCATGATTAGCCCCATTTTACAGATTAAGGATGTGAAAACAGAGGTTAAGTGACACCCTCAAGGCCACATAGTAAGTGACAGAGAGCTAAGGTTTAAACTTGGGTAGTCTGGCTCCAAAGACACGGTTTCTAAAAGTCACTGTGTTGCTTATTACGTATTATATGTTGATGTTCTATCCTTCCTAGAGTAACATTTATAAATCAGCAAGCATGTACTGCGCACTGACCTAGACGCCATGAGGGAAACAAAAAATTATAACATGATGCTTCACTTACTCTAGAGGTAGCTTACTGGACCAGATTAAATTTTCCACTTGTTTCAGTGTTTCCTGACAGTGTTTCTCAAGTGGTGTGTTAGCACCTACTGGGCTATTGGATCAAACTTTGATCTGATTAAATTGGAATTCCGCTTCACTCTCAGTAGATAGAGAAAATATTAAGCCAAGAAGGCCATGCTGTGCAGTGAAGAATGTGGTCCACACCACTAAGGATAAGATGTAAGAGGCAGAAAGGAATGTCAAGCCAGCTCCCAGAAAAGATCCCAGGTTTCTGAGAACATATGATGTTCTCTATCGGAGAATTTGGGCTCTTGTAGAACGTAAGCTACATGAGGGCCAGGATTTGGCCTGTCTTGTTCACAGTTGTAATCCTTAGGCAACATTCTAGCGCCTGGCACAGAGTAAGCAATAAATACTTGATAAAGGGATGAATGAGTGAATGAGTGAAAATAAGAGAATGGGGCAGAGCCACATATACATCTACTCCCACAACGACACAGTGCTGAAGAGGGACCACGGAAAGAATGGTGATGTGAATGCCTTTATAGGCATGCTATGTTTTCTCACACTCTTCCAGGAACTATGCTGTGCCTTTTTTTCTTTTGAAGATTTTATTTATTTATTTGACATAGAGAGAGAGAGCACAAGCAGAGGAAGAGGGAGAAGCAGGCTCCCTGCTGAGCAGAGAGCCTGACTCGGGACTTGACCCCAGAACCCTGAGATCATGACCTGAGCCAAAGCCAGATGATTAACCGACTGAGCCACCCAGGTGCCCAGATGCTGTGCTTTTTGATGACTTAAATAGCATTTTTCAGTCCTTTAATTTAATTTAATTTATTTATTTGAGAGAGAGAGAGAGAGAGCACAAGCAGGGGAAGGGGCAGAGGGAGAGGGAGAAGCAGGCTCCCCACTGAACAGGGAGCCTCATGCAAGACTCAGTTCTAAGGACCCTGGGATCATGACCTGAGCAGAAAGCAGACACTTAACCAACTGAGCCACCCAGGCGTTACAGTCTTTTTTATTTTTGTGTGTGTGCCATCAAGCATTCTAGGATTCAAGGGTACCTGGGTGGTTTGGTCGGTTAAGTGTCCACTCTTGGTTTTAGCTTTGGTCATGATCTTGGGGTCATGAGATCAAGCCCTGAGTTGGGCTCTGTGCTCAGTGGGGAGTTTGCTTGAGATTCTTTTCCCTTCCCTCTCCTTCTCTCTCTCTCTGCCTCTCTCTCTCCTCATGCTCTCTCTCCCTCTCTCTTAAATAAATAAATAAAACTTTAAAAGAAAGAGAGAGAGAATTCTAGGATTCAGAACTTTATCATAAATTCTTTATGAATCTCCCAAAGAAATGCTAACATATTTACAGTTGCACGTCCAAGATAAAAGAACTACTTTGCTTGGATTTTGATGGATAGTTTCTAGAGCAAATAGAAAACACAACCACCATCCCTAGAGAAACACTTGTTAAAAAGATGAACAGTTCTAAAATTTTAACAACAACATCAACAAAACAAAAATAGGTACAACACAGACTACAGAGTTCTTGTTTTAAACAGAATGCTTGAGTTAAGCTGTGTTCTTTAAATTTCTGGGTCCCACTGTTTAGATATCACTCCTTGGTAGTTAAGGGGAAGGATCAAATTCTGGACCTTCATGGAAACCATCTAGCTTTTCACTAACGACTTCCAAATCCTTTGCTAAATATTATAATCTTTCTATTCGACAACATTGTAGGGTCCCTTTCTTCTTTTGTGTTTATCAGATAATAACAAATCCAGTTCCAGTGGGGGGATAGATCTGATTTGCTGGAGCCAGTTGGCAAGAGGTAGGTATAGTGCAGAGTGAAAGGTACCTAAAGAGTCAGGCTTAACCTAAATACTCTCTTAGGTATATAGGAAACGGTAGGCAGTGGAAAGAATCAGTGAGCGGCATTAGGACATCATTTTACGTGTGAAATTTCAAGAAGATTTGCCTTTTTAAAGGCAATGTATTAGAGCAGTTTTTGGTTTATAAAAAATTTGAGAAAGAGGTCCAGAGATTTCCCATTTACAGGTATCTTCTGCTTCTCAAGAGTTCGTATTACACCACTTTGCTTTTACAAAAGACCTAACATCAGTATCCGTTTCTGATTTTCACTTTTACAGAAAAAGATGAAAAGTAACATTAGCCTTCAGTGTTTGCTTTGCCACAAGCCAACAGAGAGGCAGTGTGCACCCCAAGTGGCAAGAGTGGCGCCCCGACTCACTACCCTCAGCCTCTCAGCATCAAGCCACCGTGGTTCGCAGCTGTGTCTGTGAGCATCTGTGCTTTATCTGGATGTAGGTTGTGCCTCCACTATCAGGATGTATCCTAAGATTCCAGAAATGCCCAAAAGAGGTTATTTGTGTGGGATCTGGGAATGCTCAAGAAATCTTCCATATAAGTGAATGATGATTGTTTCTTTGCTTTATGCCATTTGGACTTATGAGGGTTCTCATAGGAACACTTGCTTTCCTGATAGAAGGAAACCCCTGGATTCCTGAGCTACATATGTGTGGCCTCTTACGTCATTAGCTTCACTTGCTAGAACGGTACATTTTTCATGGTGGATGAACCTATGTTGACGCATTGTAATCACCCAAAGTCCCTCGTTTACGTTAGGGTTCATTCTTATTGTTGTACGTTCTATGAGTTTGGACCAATGTATAACAACATATATCCATCATCATCACTGCCCTAACAGTCCTCTGTGCTCTTGCCCACTCACAACCTGTTCACCTTGACAACTACTGATCTTTTTTATTGTCTCCAGAGTTTCACCTTTTCCACTTTTTGCCAAACAAAAGTTTTTCATTTTAATAAAGTCCACCTTACCAATTTTTTTTTCACGATTCCTGTCTTTGGTATTGTATCTCAAAAGGCTTCACCACACCCAAGATCATCTAGGCTTTCTTCTATGTTATCTTCTAGGAGTTTTTTTAGCTTTGTAGGTGTTATATTAGGTTTATGAACCATTTTAAATGAATTTTTGTGAAGGATGTAAGGACAGCATCTAGATCCAGGTTTTTTGCCTATGGCTGTCCAGTTGTCCCAGTACCATTTATTAAATAGACTATTTTGCTCTGTTGTATTGCTTTTGCTCCCTTGTCAAAGATAAGTTGGCTGTTTTTATGGAGGTCTATTTTTGGACTCTATTCTGTTCCATTGACCTATTTATCTCTTCTTTAATCGGTACCACACTACTTTGATTACTGTACCTTTAGAGTAAGTCTTTTTTTTTAAGATTTTATTTATTTATTAGACAAAGAGCGAGAGATCACAAGTAGGCAAAGAGGTGGTTAGAGGCAGAGAGAGAGGGGAAGCAGGTTCCCTGCTGAGCAGCGATCCCGATGCGATGCGGGGCTTGAACCCAGGACCCTGAGATCATGACTTGAGCCGAAGGCAGAGGCTTAACCCACTGAGCCACCCAGGCGCCCTAGAGTAAATCTTGAAGTTGGATAGCATCAGCCCTCCAACTTTGTTCTTCTCTTTCAACATAGTGTTAGCTATTCTGGAGCTTTTGCCTTTCCGTATAAACTCTTTTTTTTTAAAGGATTTTATTTATTTATCAGAGAGAGTGAGAGAGAGAGAGAGACAAAGAGAGTACAAGTAAGGGTAATGGCAGGCAGAGGGAGAAGCAAATTCCCCCCTGGGCAGGGAGCCCAATGTGGGACTCTATCCCAGGACTCAGGATCAGGACCCAAGTTCCTGAAGGCAGACGCTTTAACTGACTGAGCCACCTGGGTGCCCCTCCATATAACCTTTAAAATCGGGTTGTTAATACCAACAAAATAACTTGTTGGGATTTTGATTGGGATTGCATTGAATCTATACAGCAAGTTAGGAAGAACTGACATCTTGACAATACTGAATCTTCCGATCCACCCACATGGAATATCCCTCCATTTGTTTTACTTCTTTGATGTCATTCACCAGAGTTTTGTGGTATTCCTCATATAGATCTGGTACATATTTTGTTGGTTTTATACCTAAGTATTTCATTGGTGGGGGTGCTAATGTAAATGCTATTATGTTTTTAATTTCAAATCCCACTTATTCATTGTTAATATATAGGAAAGCAATTGATTTTGTAATAGTAACTGTGTGTCCCACAGTCTTACTATAATAACTTATTGGTTCCAGGAGTTTGTCAATTCTTTTGGATTTTCTACACAATCATATCACCTGTGAACAAAGACGGTTTTATATCTCCTTCCCAGTTGTATGCCTTTTTTTTTCCTTGTTGTATTAGGAAGGACTTTCAGTATAAAACTGAAATGAGTAGTGGGAGGGGACATCCTTGCCTTGTTCATGAGCTTACTGGAAAAGCTTTGAGTTTCTCACCATTAAGTATGATATGAGTTTAGGTTTTTTGTAGATAGTCTTTATCAAGTTGAGAAAATTTCCCTCTATTCCTAGTTTACTGAGAGTTTTTATCATGAATCGGTGTTGGATTTTGTTAAATGCTTTTTCTGTACCTATTGATATGATCACGTGATTTTTCCTTTTTTGATCTGTCAATGTGATGGATAACATTAATTAATTTTTGAACGTTTAACAAGGTTTGCATACCTGGGATAAAGTCTAGTTGGTCATGACACATAATTCTTTTTATACTTTGGATTTGATTTAGTAATATTTTGTTAAGGATTTTTGCATCTATATTCATCACAGATATTGGCCTATAGTTTTCTTTTCTTATAATGCCTTTATCTGGTTTTAGTATTAGGGTAATGCTGACCTCATAGAACAAATTAGGAAGTGTTCCCTCTGGTTCTATCCTCTGAAAGAGTTTGTAGAGGATTGGTATAAATTTTTCTATAAATGTTTGGTAGAATTCACCAGTAAACTGACCTGGGCCTGACACTTCTTGTTTGGGTAGGTTATTCATTACTGATTCCATTTATTTAATAGGTATAAACTAAAACTTATCCTTAAAAAAAGGAAATTTAGTTGTTAACTTGTAGAAAATTGGTAAGATGCTCATAATTTCTGCTCTGTAAAGAAGATAGCACCAAAGGTCATAGTTTGTTGTTCTGTAGGACATTAATCAGATTTATATCTAATTTAGCAATAATTTAGCATAACTTCAGTATTTTCTCATACTGATGATACACATTATTTCTCTTATCTTTCCTTAAATCATCTTTGTTTACTGCTGGTTTTCTCAATAGTTAAAAAACTTGACCTGTGTTTAACTGTATTTGTATGAGCATTATTTTATAACATTTTGAAATTATACTTTGACATTTTATAGAAGTACAACTTGGTACTATTTAAAATATTTAAAATCTTGGGCACCTGGTGGCTCAGTGGGTTAAGCATCTGTCTTCAGCTCATGTCATGATCTCAAGGTCCTGAGATCGAGGCCCGAATTGGGCTCCCTGCTCAGTGAGGAGTCTGCTTCTCCCTCTCCCTCTCTCCCCCACTTACGCCTGCTCTCTCTCTCTCTCAAATAAATAAAAACTTTCAAAAAAAAAAATCACAAAATCTAGTGACACTTCTGTTCTCATTCTTGTTGACCTTTGTTGAGGTATTTAGCCCCAAGCTATAGTCTTTCCCTCTGTTCCAATTCCTGCCCCTAACTTGGGGACCTTCTTGTCTTTAGGCAGGATGGATCCATCCTCTCCCTTTTCCGTTCCCTCCTATCCTGTTTCCAGTGGCCTTCCTCAGTTCTGTAATTCACTTCTTCACTCTTCTTCACTTCTGTAACTCAGTACAAAGGATTTTAGATACTCTATTCTTTCAGAACTGTTCATCTCAGATATTTCTGTGCTTTTTGCTCTGTACTGCTTTTAGATGAAAATGCCTTGTTTTTCTGCTTAAAAGAAGTAACATGTTTCCTGGAAAATTTTTTTCAGAAAATT